TTTTGAAAGACAACTTGTTTGGCATGCAGTTTGCAGTTGCCTTCAATGTCTCTGTGAATTTGATGTTCTGAATCTACATTCATATATTACTATCATGGGAAATGTTTTCTCCACAGGGATGGGATGATGTTAGTTTCCATGGTTCTGATCAAATTCCAACACCAAACATTGATGAGTTGGCTTACAGTGGTGTATTATTACATAACTACTATGTACAACCAATTTGTACACCTACAAGGGCAGCCCTCATGACAGGAAGACACCCTATACATTTAGGTGAGAATTTCATGAAAACTTGATGTAACAACTTGTTGTTTAACTGCATGGATCAGTCTATATATACCTGTGCAGCAATAACTTCATAACGCACATATATGAAATACCTAAATCCAGTTTTTGTCATTCAAGGTTTTCAAAATTCATTCATCAGAAATAAATTTAGTAAAACTTACTAACTACATATTTAGGGGGCAGGGGTGAATTTATAATAACAATTTTTCTTTGATTTTGTATGCTTTCACATACAAATGTAGTGAAAATATACAATTAAATATTTCACCATGGGAGCATTTAATTATGATTTTGAGACATTTGGAATATAAAATTAGGCTTAAGTGGGGGACCAGTGTAGAATTTTAGTAAAAATTTAACACTTTTAAAATATAAATTACAAATATTTATGAGCAATATTTTCTTAATTTCATTATCATTCAGAGTAAATACAAATTTTAGAAAGAGAATTAATAACTTCTAGTTTTTACTTTTTGTTAAACAGGTCTGCAGCATGATGTAATAATGGGAGCAATGCCGTCTGGTTTACCATTAACTGAGACAATATTACCACAGTATCTTGGAAAATTGGGCTATTCTACTCATATGATAGGAAAGGTAAACTTAGATAAGCAAGTAAATAGGCCTATCAAACACACTACCAAATTATTGCTGTAAGCTATTATTGTAACAGTGTTTTTCTTTTTAACCCCCGACAGTCCGAGACAGGGCTCATAACTTTGAAATGCATGATCTGATTTGAATAGCATTTTTTGGATAAATTGTTTTGTGTAATGTGCAACGATTTATGTACATTTATGGATATTTTTAGGTAAAATAGACTGAGAATGATGTTTTTGTTTGTTCTTGGCTCAATGTCATTCAGAATTCACATATACCGGATTCTGCCGTAAATTCGCCCTGGGTCGTTAAACAGCAGTAGGTTTAAAAAAAAATAAAATGGGACGAAGTGATTTTTCGGCAGTTTTCAGATGTTTATAGCAACTGGCGTGAATGGGTAAGCTTCGTTTCGACAATGAGCTGTTATCACTGTGAACAATGTTACATTATTCTTCAAATGCTCAGTTTATCTTTTGAAAACAACTATTTTTTTTTATTTAAAAACAAATCATGTCGCTTTCCCATCAGAATCCAAGCCAAAAGATTGTAAAACAACATCAGCAAATCTCTTCCGTGCTGCGTTCAATAACATTAACATATTTAAATGAGCTATGGTAATTTGAACATATTGGCATCATCGCTCGTTTTCATTGGTTAATTAGCGATTTGACCTGTCAGGTCAAAGAACACCGTACCAGGTCAAGACATGACGGATATTCATTGAGCGTTGAAAATGCAATCGGAATCATTCGCTTACGATGAAATAAGTTGAAATTTATTTGCATTTCATAACAATTCAACAAATTTATTTTTTCGCACATTATTATAATCATTACTAGGTAATAATTAACATTTGTAAAACGCAGCATGGCCGGATTGCGCTACCTCGATCATTTGCTACTAAGCAATGCATTTGGGTTCATTTTTATTTGAAACTTCTTTTAGAATATACTTTCGTTACTAATATAATAAAACAAAATAATTGTATTTGGCACAAAGTTTGTTAATGTGATTTTTTTGGAGAAAGATGCGCAGTCTACTTTTTAATCCAGCAAGAAAAAAAATGTATAAAATTTTAGATTAGCTTCTGCAATAGTTCCTTTAGTTTTGGTTGGTCTAACTGCCGGTGTTGAAAATCGGCGTAGGTGGATTTTCAATGAAAATATAAGCCCCCTAAAAATATTTGATGATCATTTGTTGAAATTTTGAACCCCAAATAAGGCCCCATACCATAGCTCATTTGAATAAAATGTTTGATCAAAAAATAGGGTGAAAATGATGTATTTGCCTGTCTTTGATATTGCATTGCTCAATTTGATACAAACTTGACATATACAATGTCGGTAATGCACAATATATTATATATATTGATTGACATAAATTCACAATCAAAGTGTTTAAGGTATCATTTTTAGAATGAATGGGGGGATGTTTTATACATTGACCAATTTCATTCAAAATTGGAATATATACTCAGTATCATGAGATACAGCTTCAATGGATAAAGTTGAGTCATCCATGCATAATCCAATAGGGTGGGTGGCCTAATTTGCATAATTAATATTATTTTAGATATTATTTGCATAATCCTATTATTTACCAGTACCACCTGAGTGATATTTACTATATGGGGGTTGCCATCTTGAACCAGGTGTGCGCCAGCTGACTGTGAGTGAAATGACCACCTAACAGAGTTACCAATGGTGGTTGCAGTGAATGTATATAATAATACTATTATTGTTTACCTAATGCAACAATGTTTTCGTAATTTTGAGGCTT